AACTGTTGTTCCTCGTCGTCTTTGCTCTTGCTATCGGTGTCACTCAGGTTACGCAACTCTTCCTTGGTGTTGTCGTTCAGGAGCTTAAATTTCTTGGCAGAGAGTGCAGCTTTCACATTACAGATCAATTCTTGGTCCATGGGCTGTATTAATGACGTAGTGTTGGGAGGAAGGAAGACCACTTTTATGTTGGGGTGATGATCTAACAGTAGGGACGATTGTCCTGGTGCGTTGTCAAGCAGCAACAAAATCTTGAATGGAACATTGTGTTGCTTACAGAATTTCTTAACGTCAGGAACGAAACAGTCATCAAACCAGGAGAGGGACAGAGTAGAGAACATCCACGCCTTATGTGCGGTCAGCCAGTGGACATTTAGCTTGGTCATGTCCATGCTCTTGTAGGCGTGCGGCTTGCCTGCTGTGTGGATCACCGATAACTTGAGCTTACAGGTACCGGAGGCATTGGTGGTAAACAGGACGGTGATGCGCTCCTTCAGCAACTTCCGGCCCCGACACTTGCTGGCATTCTTCACAACGAAGGTCTTGGAGGGTAGCTTTTTCCAAAAAAGACCAGATTCGTCCATGTTAAACACCTGGTCGTCGGTGTACTGTTCTTCCTCCATAATCTCACGTAAAAACGGAGGAAATTCCCTAGCCGCAACACGGTCAGCACTAGCTTCTTCACCACCAATGTTAATATTGGTGATCTTGTTCCTCTTAAATCTCTGCAACCACCCAGAGGAAGCATTAAAGGGTTTGGGCTCTGCAATTCCCATCTTACGTGACACTGCAGCATACAGTTCACGTGCGTACTCCTTAACTGAGCGCGTGTCCACCGCCATGTTCCATCGCGCCTGACGAACCAAGTAGCTCACAAGTAATTTTTCCATCTTGAGAAGCACCTGGTTGTGGCAATACTTGATCATAGAAGCACCTGTAGACTTTGTGATGTTCATGTGCTCCTTTATCTTGGCTGCATCCTTCTTAATTGTCCTGTTAGTTGATTCGTTAACACGATGCTGGCGCGTGAGATCAACCTGTCTTGTTCCTTTCTCTAACTCTTGTATGATCTTGTACTTAATTACGTAGCTTAAGGAACGTCATATCTTCTTTGGCTTAGGGCGGCTGGGTCCAGGTAATGCAAGGTTTCTTTGTGGTGGTGGTGGTGGTGGTCTGGTGGCAGCCATTCTTATGGAACAATGGATACCGATATACACGGTGTAGCCGGGAGGGGTGTAACTGATGCGGGTAGGTCAAGGGGCTTGAACGCTTCCGTGGCGGGGCACGTCATAGTACATACATTAAACCAATCACAGCTAGCGGGGAAGGGAGGTAAGGATGCTTGGCCCAATCATAGTCTGATACATCATATGACGTCACCGATAATGCAACAAAGACATACACTGCGCAACCTACTCACGCCGCTTACCCAACATGGCGGGAGAGATGGCGGGAGGTTTGGATCCAAAAATGGCGCGGCGCGAGAGGACCGCCAGCTGCTCCGTGTAAAAGGGTACACGCACCGCATAAAGTGAGCATTCCGTGTTCGGCAGGGTACCGCGTAAACGTGGAAACGCGTAAAGTGAAACCGCGTATAGCGGGGGTTTACTGTATAGCGAACATCGTTGGACCCTATCTTGCAATATATCCCGACCCTACTGTACTGTACTGTACAGTACAGTAGGGACGGGATATATCGCAAGATAGATTCCAACGATGTTCACTATTAATAAGCACAGATTATTACAATAATGTATCTTTACTAATTAATGAAAAATAAATAAACAATATTGTACAGTGATATCTCTGTTAACCGGAATCCCTCAAAGCCGGAAATCTCCAATAGCCGGAATTGAAATTTACTCGGAAAATCATTCCCAAAGCCGGAATTTTCCAAAAATTCCGGCTTTGAGAAAAATTTTTCAGAATGTCAAAAATCGAGAGAATTTTCTGAAAATGTCTTCAACAAAGATGAAGGTTAAAGTATTTTTTTTTTAAGGGGGGGAACCTGACCTGACCTGACTCAATGTCAGGTGGAGGTAGGGTGGAGGATTAGTGGTCTCATATTACCGACCTTCGGATGGAATGTCAGGTCACCCTTTCTTGGGTGGGGGATTAATGGGTTTCTTGACCTGAAGATGTGTTGAATAAACACGAAGCCTAAAGTATTTTTATGGAGATTGTGATAAGTATAAGTATAAATGAGCAAAGTTGTATCCCTTCAACATTACGTTACATAACATTTTAAAATATGGAGTGTGAAAGCAGAAAGGTGTGGGTGATTAGAGAGATGGAGTAGAAAAGGAGTGGTAACATGCACCAGTGTTGCCTAGCGATAACCTCCTCAACAGCTGATCTGTTATTTCACCTCCAGGTAGTCACACAACAAAACCTTCACTGGATGCTTGTTGTCTTATTTCCCGTGTGTGTGTGCGTGCGTGTGTGTGTGTGTGTGTGTGTGTGTGTGTGTGTGTGTGTGTGTGTGTGTGTTTTTTGACGAAGTGAACTTTTTGGGGGGTAGGGTCACGTGGTTAGTTCCCCCCCCCCCTTTCCCTTCTCAAGCGTGGCTAATTGTGATAGGGAGATGAATTTGATAACATAATGATGCTTAGTAAATTCTCTACCAAATGTTGCCAATAAGATATCCTTAAAAAATATTTCTATATGATATAGTGATGAGAATTCTAGTCTTTTATATAAAAAAGTAAGAAATGTTGATACCAGAGTCAGTAAAATCAGTTGTAATTTCGTTAGACACCATTTATCTATCAAAATAATCCTGAATACTTTATTTAAAAGTTTGAGTTAATAAATATATTTAAAACAAAAGATCTATATGATACAGGCGTGAATAGAGCTGTTACATTTATCCTCTTCACTGATGGGCTCATTAGTCGCTTGGGAGATCGGTCACATCTCTGTTACACACTTCACTCAATTGACTGTAATACATAACTAATCATGTCTAACACTTGTGATAAGGTTGGGTGCGAGATATTGGGTCTCTTTACTAACCTAACCTGATTCAACGTCAAGTCACCCAGTGTTGGGTGGGGGATTAGTGGGTCTTATGACCGATTATGTCATGAATGACATTATTTCATTCCTATGAGGTATATACATAGTACTATACTGTACTGTATTGTATATGAAGGGTACAGGTATTAATAAGCACAGATTATTACAGTAACGTATCTGTACTGATTAATGAAAAACAAATAAACATTAGTGTATCATGAATGAGTCGGTACAATAGACAAGCAGTGAGGCGAGCCTTTGGGGGAGGGGGTGGTGCGGTCACTTAACCCCCCACAACAAACTGAGGAGAGATTAACGCTTATAAAATATCATTGACCTGACTTACGAGAATACAACTTGTATTGCTGGAATTCTTGTAAGATAGCAATTAATTTTGAGTATAAACATCTCTTATTTTGCATCACACACACACACACACACACACACACACACACACGCACGGGAATTAAGACAACAAGCATCCAGTGAAGGTCTTGTTGTGTGACTACCTGGAGGTGAAATAACAGATCAGCTGTTGAGTAGGTTATCACTTGGCAACACTGGTGCATGTTACCACTCCTTTTCCACTCCATCTCTCTAATGACCCACACTTTCCTGCTTTCTCACTCCATATTTTAAAATGTTATGTAACGTAATGTTGAAGTGATACAACTTTGCTCATTTATACTTATACTTATCACAATCTCCATAAAAATACTTTAGGTTTCGTGTTTATTCAACACATCTTCAGGTCATGAGACCCACTAATCCCCCACCCAAGAAAGGGTGACCTGACATTCCATCAGAAGGTCAGTAATACGAGACCACTAATCCCCCACCCTACCTCCACCTGACATTGAGTCAGGTCAGGTCAGGTTCCCCCCAAAATACTTTGACTTTTATCTTTATTCAAGATATTTTCAGCGCATTCTCTCGATTTTCAACCTTGGAAATTTTGTTCCAAGAGCCAGAAATTTGTGGAAAATTCCGACTTTGGGAATGATTTTCCGAGCAAATTTCAATTCCGGCTATTGGAGATTTCCGGGTTTGAGGGATTCCGTCTAATGGAGGTATTACGAACGCCCGCCGATACAAATAAGGTTAACTTTAAATTTATAATATTTCATTTACCTGATGACTTATTTTTTACTTTAATTTACTGTATTTTGTCATTCTATTTATTCTTTGATCTTAAATTAAGTGATTTTAGATGTACGTATATAAGGACTTAGGGTATGATACAGTACGTGTTGGGAATGCTGGGCATATCGATGTTCTTTTGTTTTGAGGTTGACGCCAAGGGATGTGGAACGGCTGAACAGGCTCACTCTAAGTTCAGCTCTCACTCGGAGCAGACATTCCTGGTTTTTTCCTTCCACTGCCTTCTTGCTTCTATCTGAGGTGCACCGTGGGGGTTTTGGGTGATCCTGTGCGTGTGGAGGTTCTGGTTGTTGCTGTGTATGCAGTAAGACTGGTATATGCCAGGTTAATATAGAATTTTGCCCTCAGTGTTCTCAGTGTTTGTGTTACTCAGTGTTATTTCATCTTTGTATTCTCTCTTGTAATGGTGTTTACCCGGTTCATACATGTATTGGCCCTAAGTATCCTTGGATAAGTGTTATTTGATTTTGGTGTTCTTGTGCATATTACATGTAAATCTGTAAGATAAGGAATAATCATGTTTATTTTAGTTAAGCTTTGTTTTAATAACACTGGACCATCTTTCACAAATTATTTTGTCGTATTAATATAACTTTGAGTGACCTCTGTTCAAAAATATATATATATGGTCTTTATTGCACATTTTCTATGAGATTTTTTTTCATTTGTGTTTGGTCATTGTTCCAATGCTTTGAAGGCCTTAAAGTATATAAGAGGGAAGTGATCGTAACAATTTGGCCTATGTTTAGTTATAAAATGGGATTACTGGATCAGTCCTCATTTCTCAGCTTGTTATCCTGTTATTATCATACAACCTGCAGTTGGCACGGGCCCTTACCTTGCGCACCCTGGGCTGGATGTCAGGGGTCGTGGGCGAGAACAGAAGAGTTCAACATCTGATACGAGAAGCATTAGATGCCAAAGAATCCGTGGAACTTCAGGCTGCCATCATGGCGGCAGAGAAATATGCTGCTAAATCAAAGTAAGTTTAAGAGGATTTTACTTTTTGGTATTAGATAGTTATAGGTAAATATTGGTGTTACTTATGAGGAGAAATTGAAATGTGAGTTTATGTTAGCATAATAATATGTACTGTAGACGTTAAATCAGAGATCATATCTTTAACAGAACCTTTGCCATGAACATGTGTGAACGTCTCATCCACATGATTGGAGGATTGGCAACACCAGTTGATGTGAAGTTACAGCTAATCCAAGTGTTTCAACACATGCATCATGATGCTGAAACAGCTGCAACTGTAAGACTCTTAAGTTTTGTTTGTAGCTGCAGTACTGGATGCTAAGTCTGTCTTCCACCTTTCCTCTCCTCTCACTTTTTATGTGAGGTAGGTCAAGACAAATAGAAACCTTAAGTAAGAGAAGAAACAGAAGAGGCAAGTGTTGTAAGTCATTTGCAAAGTGCACCAAGAAATGGTTGTAACAATTTATGGAAATTCAGGTTGCTGAAATTTGCCCATATGGAATTTGTAAATTATGACCACTAAATTTGGGATGCAGCCCGTAAATTCTACCTTATGGAAATGGGGTAAATCATCAAAATTTTCAACACAAAAATCGCAATATAGAACAAAAAGAATTCACATAAATTATAATTTAGTTGGAGTGGAATTCATGGTGTTTGCTACCACCAAGCATGGCATACCCACTCCAACTCAGTGTTTTGTTATCTCCCAGCGTGTACGCTTGATCTCTTGACCCCAGCTCTTGGATTTAACACTTACGTACTTATCTTATTTAAGACTGTCCAGTGTATTACCCTTATTCAATATGAGTGGTAAGAGTCCATCAAGTGCAAGTGAAAGCAGTAGTACTAAAAGAACTCATAAAGGAATTACGTTGGTGATGTCCTCCTGTAAAGAAGAAAAAATATCTGTACAGTAAATGAAGTAATAAAATAAATATGTTTAGGAGGCATATTAAGGGTAAATAACAAGTGAAATATTACAGAAACACTTGAAATACCTAGGAACGCACCAAACTCCACGAGGACCAGATGTAAACAAAGGGTATGCCGAACCATGGATACTAGCGCCCACGGCCGGATTTACCAATAGGCCAAGTAGGCCATTGGCCTAGGGCCCACCGGTATCTGGGGGCCCACTGAAACTAATTTGTCGCGCAGCGTGCCAGCGTATTACCTTGTTTCAAGTGTACACCGAGTATTTCATTATATAATATATTCACAACCATAAGGGCCCCTGTACAATAAGTATAGGCCCGCAGTGGTCTTCAACTGGTGGGCCATATACTTGAAACACTAAAATTTTTAACATCAAGAGGTCTTCCTCTCAGAGGTGGTGATGAAAGAATAGGCTCTAGCAACAGTGGGAATTACCTTGGAGTACAGTGAGTTCTGCTATAACGCGTGTTTTGACAACGCGAATTTGCTCGAACGCGATTTATGAATTGAGGAACGATATTTGTAAAACGCGAACTCGTTTGCTCTAACGCGATTCCACTCGAACGGTTGTTGTGGCTTCAGTTCACGTTCGACATCACATGTTCAATTGAGTTATGTGTTTTGTTTGTGAACAATTGCAGAAATAATGTATGTAATATTTATGTATACAGTATACCTATATATTATAAGTAAATTGTAAAATTTTACATAAAAGAGAAAATCAAATTACATAGCGTTTTACACCCGCGCTCTCTCTACATCACACACAGTGTTTACAGTTCACGTTCGACATCACATATTCAATTGATTTATGTGTTTTGTTTGTGAAGAATTGCAGAAATAATTTATGTAATATTTATGTATACAGTAAACCACTCACAAGGTCCTACAGTACCACTAATTATTTTATACTGAAACTTACGTTTGGTAAGCTGGATTAAAATGAAGATTACCGGTATATTAAAATAATAAAAATGTATTATAAACCAGTCTAACATACCGTAATAAACACAGCTGCTATCATCACCCCCCCACCCCCATTTGCCAGTGACAAGAAAGGGAAAGTGACCTTGACTGTGACCGCCTGTGGCTATTTTTAGCCGTCCTTGTGTTCGGAGGTGGTCAGTAATGCATATCTCTATATTTACTGATCATAATACTTATCTCTTATAAATAATTCATTTAAAATTTATTTTTTTGCAAAGAATATTCAGTAAATGACTGCATTAATTCTTGAAACTACCTACAGTGGTAAATTTAGGATATAAATAATGAACAGAAGTCACGTCATGGATTCGGAGTTTGGTCCTTAACGATCACCATAAATGTAGCCTCCCTTTTTCGCGAAACACGTATATAAATTAAAGAAAATACTTGCAGTATATTTAATATATTACAGTATATTATATATAAATAAATAAACAAATAAATTCAAATTCCCTTATCATCCTGTGTCATATACAGAAATACTTGAGTCCCTGAGCGAGTACACAAAAAGAAAACGGACATCCTGGAGTGGATAGAGAACGGACATCTCTACTGGGGGACTCAAACGTTTCTCATGTTTTGTGGGCGCTCTAGCATAATATGAATAATATGTAAATTACAATTTACATATATATATATACAGTATATATATATATATATATATATATATATATATATATATATATATATATATATATATATATATATATATATATATATATATATATATATATATATATATATGTAAATTGTAATTTATATATATATATATCTTGATAAAATCACACGGGAAAATGGAAACAACGGAGTACCTTAGCTTTCGTCTTTATTCAAGACATCTTCAGAGGCAACTGGATTACATGGACAGAGAGAGGCTTAAATATACAGGGTGACCTAAAAACATGAGGTCAGCTCATAATGATGACATCCACTAATCCCCACAAATCATCTTGTGTCACAGAAAGACTTCTGGTTGAAGCTAGTTTGATTAAGGAATTAAAATCAATAAACCTTAGTGATGGTCAGTTCAAAACTGATAATATGTTACATAAATTTATTTGTCAGTAGCCCAAGGTTAAAAATGCTTTGAAAACCTTTGATCTAGATGTATGATAGTTATTTTGTGGGTCCCTTTTTTCTGACCTGACCTGGCTAGTCACGTCACCACCCTTCTCTTAAGCTCCTCTACGTGTGTGTTGGTGTGGGGATTAGTGGATGTCATCATTATGACCTGACCTCATGTTTTTAGGTCACCCTGTATATTTAAGCCTCTCTCTGTCCATGTAATCCAGTTGCCTCTGAAGATGTCTTGAATAAAGACGAAAGCTAAGGTGCTCCTGTTTCCATTTTCCAGTGTGATTTTATCAAGATTTATCTTATCCACGCCATTGTATATATATATATATATATATATATATATATATATATATATATATATATATATATATATATATATATATATATATATATATATATATATATATATATATATATATATATATATATATATATATATATATATATATATAAATCGTAAAAATTTAAATAAAAGAGAAAAACTAAATACGTAGCGTTTAAAGTGTTAAAGTGTACTGAACAGTGTTGTGGCTTGGCTCAATGTTTACAGTTCACGTTCGACATCACTTGTTCAATTGATTTATGTGTTTTGTTTGTGAAGAAATACCTGTACAGTATATGTAAATTGTAAAATTTTAAATAAGAGAGAAAAACAAAATAAGTAGCATTTAAAGTGTACTGTACATTGTGGCTTGGTGCGGGGTTATGCAGTGTTTACAGTTCACGTTCGACATCACATGTTCAATTGATTTATGTGTTTTGTTTGTGAAGAATTGCAGAAATAATTTATGTATACAGTATACCTGTACAGTATATGTAAAATGTAAAATTTTAAATAAGAGAAAAACAAAATACATAGCGTTTTAGACCCGCGCGCTCTGTTTACTCCACACTTTGTTTGAAACACTTGTGAAGTTTTTAAGCGTCCTCAGTGAATTCTGATTACTGTTTCTCCAATTTTGTGACTATGGAAAAGAAGAATATCTCTGGGAAGCACTCTGGTGATCGCATTTCCGGTGGTGATTGTAAAAGAAAGGCTATAACACTTGAAGAAAAGCTTGATGTTTCATGACTCCTCAGCCTCAACATCACCCTTATCCCCCATCAAGTTATATTCATATTTTTTCAAGGTAAAGTGTAACATTTACTGTATGATTTCATTATTAGACATGAATGTAACATTTATTTAGACTGTGCTATCCTTTGTGTTAGGCTAACTACGAAATTTTTTTTCGATTTGGAGTAATCTGCACCTAACCCTATTTTCTCCATAAGCCCTGTTATTTCTATTTCACGAATTTCTATAACACGATGTTTTACAAGAACACTACTATCGCGTTATAGCAGAACTACCTGTACTG